GTAATGTTATTGTTGTTAAGTGCCGTCGAGTCAGTTCCGACCCATAGTGACCCTGTACAGGGTTTCTGAGGCTGTAAATCTTTACGGGAGCAGAAAGCCTCATCTTTCTCCCACGGAGCAACTGGTAGTTTTGAACTGCTGACCTTAGGTTCGCAGCCTGATTTGTAACCACTACGCTGTAATACATTGTCTAAATCCATGAGAGTTAAGAATCAGGATAAGCACAAGATTGGTTTCTATGAAGTGGAGGTTAGATGTACATCCACTCCAACTTATTCACCATTCTAACACCGGCTGTTGTCTGCTACTCCCACCCCCATGTCACTCTGCTTCTCTGCTAGGTTTGATAATTGATGGTAATGGCCATACAGAACTCACAGACAGTACTCACAATTATGTGATTTATTAGGAAAGTTGTTGTTAAGCGCCATCAAATCAGTTCTGACTCAATGTGACCCTGAATAGGGTTTCTGAAGAGTGGTTAGTGGATTTGAACCATTGACCTTACAGTTAGAAGTCCAGTTCTTTGGGATCAGGATCAAGTTGGAAATAACAAGAAAAACTTGGAATCAGGTTCAGGAAGGACACAGTAATGTCTGAAAAGCTCCTCTGAAATGGAGAGGATCTCCCTCCCTTCTTCATTGCAGGATGGCTTCCAACTAGCACAGCTCTCTCAGCTGCTCTCTGCCACTAGGCAGGCCTCTCCACAGCTAGCTGACCTAGCTCATGACCAGTATAGCAGCCCACTCTCTCTGTCCACCATCAGGCCTCTCTGCTGTTGGATCTCAGCTGCCACGTGGTTCTACTCCTCTGCCAGTCCAGCTCTCAACCAGCTACTGGCAGAATTTTAGATATAGGTCCTTGTGTCCCAAAGGAAAGACTCTCTTCCCGACTCCTGTCAACCAGAAGGGCTCTAAAATTTCTGCCTTAGTGCCATTTATAAACCCCAGTCCTCGTCAGTTTTAAGATAGGGCCATAGTTAAACCAATTCTCAATTACCCATGAGATGTCATTCAACTCAGGTCTTATGTAAAAGTAGTCATTTCTGATAACAGAGACAGGCTCCTTCCCTGGGCAAAAGTACCAAACCCTTGGGTAGAAAGTACCCTGGAAGGTAGCTCCCAAACTGCTTCTCCAAAGTACTAGGGCAAAGGTAACAACTCCTCAGAGCTTAGGGAAAAACATCTCCCAAACTGTTTTTCCAAAGACCCAAGAAAAAGGCCATATAAAGGAACTCATTACACCACAATGCCTCTCCTCACATACACACCCCTTTTCTAAGTGTTTCTAGGCCTTGTAGCCACTACTTGTCTGTCAGTTGTCCTGTGGTGACTTGCATGTTACTATGATGCTGGAAGCTTTACCACTGATATTTTTAACACCAGCAGGTAGACAGGTGTCAGGAAGGCTTCTATAATAAGACAGACTAGAAGAGGAGGCAGACTACTTCTAACTGTTTAGCCACTGAAAATTGTATGAATAGTAGCAGACATGTCAGATATAGTACCAGAAGATTAAAACATGAAGAGCACCAGAATGTTTTCAGATATAATGCCAGAAGATGAGTCCTTCAGGTTAGAAGGAATTCAAAACTTGTCTGGGCAAGAACTGCTCACTCAAATTAGAGTTGACCATGGTGACACAAATGAAGTAAAACTTTCAGAACCTTCATTTGCTGATGAGACACAACTCAAAATGAGGAAGAACAGCTGCAAACATCCATTAATAATTGGGACATGAAATTTACAAAGTATGAAAGTATGAAAATTGGAAGTTGTTGAAAATGAAGTGGAGCACATAAAGATCAATATCCTAGGCATAAGTGAGCTGAAATGGGTATCAGCCATTTTGAAACAGATAATCATATAGTTTACTATGCCAGGAAGGACAAATTCAAGAGAAATGGTATTGCATTCATCAAAAAGAATATTTCAGCTGTCTTGAAGTACAATGTTGTCTGTGATAGGATAATATCCATATACCTACAAGGAAGACCAGTCATTATCACCATTATTCAAATTTACGTAAAACCACTAAGGTCAGTGATGATGTAATTGAAGACTTCTAATAACATCTTCAGTCTGAAATTGATCAAATATGCAATCAAGATGTGTTGATAATTACTGGTGTGTGTGCTATTGTTGTATTTTTCACCATACTTATTCTATCTGTATTCTGAGCAAGTAATCTGAGAAGCTGGGTTATATGAAGAAGAATTGTTTTTTTCCTCAGGATTAGAAGAAGAATCACAACAACCTGCAATATACAGACGATGCAATCCTTCTTGCAAAGAGAACTCAAAATACTGATGAAGATCAAAGACTTAGGTCTTCAGTATGAATTATACCTCAATGTAAATAAAGAACATAAAAATCATCACCACTAGACCAATAATAACATCATGATGGAGAAAAGATTGAAGTTGTCAAAACTTCATTTTGCTTGAATTCACAATGAAGACAGATGGAAGCAGCAGTCAGTAAATCAAATGACATATTGCATTAGGCAAATAATGCTACACAAGACCACTTTGAAGTATTCAAGAGCAAAGTTACCAACTTGAGGACTAAGGTGCGCCAGACCCAAGCCAAGGCATTTTTCAATCACCTCATATACATGTGAAAGTTGGACAATGAATAAGGAAGACCATAGAAGAAATTACAAATTTGAGTTATGTTGTTGGAGAATAATATTGAAAATACCAGTGACTGCCAAAAGAACAAACAAATCTTTGTTGGAAGAAGTATACTCAGAATGTTCCTTAGAGACTAAGATGGTGAGACTTTGTCTCTCATACTTCGGACATATTACCAGGAGAAACCAGTCCCTGGAGAAGGACATCATACTTGTTAAAGTGGAGGGTCAGTGAAAAAGAAGAACACTTCCAATGAGAATGATTGGTACAATAGCAGGAACAGTAGGCTTAAGCATGACAGTGATCATGAGGATGATGCAGGACCGGGCAGTGTTTCGTTCTGTTGTGCACATGGTCTCTATGAATTGGAACCAACCCAGTGGCATCTAACAATAACAAGGCCTAAAAGTGTCTGATATTTGAGGTGTTAAACGTTTGTTGAATCTCTGAATAATTCGTTGAATAAATATTCTTTTTTTTAAAGCTTTTTATTATAATTTGTATGAAAAGTTTATAGAGCAAATTAGTTTCATTCAACAATTCATACAAATTTTGTTTTGTGACATTGATTATAATCCCCACAATTTAACAACACTCTTCCCACTTCCTCCCCATGTTTCTGTTTCCATTCTCCTTCTTTCCCTTCCTGTCTTCTCAACTGTATTGTTGTTATTGTTAAGTGCCATTGAATTGGGATTTCGACTCACAGCAACCCAGTATAGAGTTTCCGAGGAGTGGCTGGTGAGTTTGAACCACCCATCTTTCGGTTCAAACTGACCTTGTGGTCCTGTGGTTATCCTACAGTGCCATACCAGGACTGGGCAAATGCTGCCCTTTTGATCTCAAATGGTTGCTTATATCTATTGTTTGCTGAAAACTGAGCCACAGGGATGAGTTTGGTTCCAAGTTTGACAGGTGGCTTAGGATCATAGTCTCTAGAGTTTCATTAGTCACTAAGGCCAATAAGCCTTGTCTTTTTTGTGATTTTGAGTTTTGGTCCATGTTTTTCTCCTACTCTGTCCAGGACTCATTTGTGATCCATTTCAGGATTATCAGTAGTGGTAACCAGGAACCATGTATTTTTTCTGTTATCCAGTTCTGCTGTGGTTCACACAGTCCATTAACCCTTTGGACTAATTGTTTCCATACATTTTTATTTCCTTTGCTCTTTGTTGCTTTGACAGGAGAGAGACCAATCCTTTGCATCTTAGCAGATACTTTCTGAATACAAAGATAAAGAATCGTACTTAAAGAACAATAAATAGTATATTTATAATTAATTTATTGTTATATGACTTTTTTCAATGTAGTTATAACTTAAAATGTATTCTCTCTACATTTCAAAATTATTGGTGCTGTATGCCTAGTAAGCAGAGGAGTAACAGTACATAATCTCACTATAACAACCTTAACCTTAGATGTCATATGAGGTTTCTTGCCTTTTAGGTAGTCCATGACCCACGGTCTTTTCACTTGCCTCATATCCATGCAAAAGCTGGACAGTAAAAAAGAAAGACATTTAAATTGTAGAGTTGACAAAGAATGTTGACAATGCCATGGACTGCCAAAGAATTAACAAATCAGTCTTAGAAGAAATACAATCAGAATGTTCCTTAGAAGCAAGAACATGGACTAAAGAAAGACCAGTCACTAGAAATGGATATAATGTTTGGTAAAAATGAGGGAAACTCTCAATGAGATGGTTTGACAATAGTCATAATAATGGACTCAGTCATACCAAAGATCATGAAGATGGCACAAGAGTAGGTAACATTTCATTCTGTTACATAAGGTCACCATGAGTTGGAGTCAAGTCAACAGCAACAAACAACAACATGGTCACCATTTGATAATTGTATGTTTTGAATAACAAATGTTGTCCTTGATCTTCCTTGTTCTCTCTTCTACCCTTCCTCGTGGCACTCTTAGTTACTCTTCCACTTAACTTATTCTACATTGTACTGATGTTATTTATGGATTTACCTTTGGCCCTACCCAGAGCTCAAAATCTATTACAGAGGCTGTTAACTTATTTGGGATCATAAACACTGTTGAGACAATGATGATTAACTATAAACGGTCCCTCCAAGAAAATGAACATAACTACAAACAAGCAAAAATTTTCCATTTAAGTTCCAGAAGTTCGTGGACTCCAGATTAAGGACCTTCGTTCTTTAAGACCCTTATTTCTAGATTGTGTGTTCTTTGAGAACAAGGGTTGAGTTTCATTGACAGAACCTACCATGTATATAAGATATATTCAGTAAATCATTTCTGAATTGATGAATTGAAATGTATGATAATAAACTAAGTTTCTGACTGCAAAATCTCTCTAAACATAATTTTTGTTTGTTTGTTTCCATAGGCTTCCATCTGAGTGGCACAGTAACTGAGCCAGCCACTGCTTCTGAACCTGCAATGACTTACAAAGTTGCAATCAGTTTTGATCGATGTAAAATCACTTCAGTGACATGTGGCTGTGGGAACAAGGACATATTCTACTGTGCTCATGTGGTAGCACTTTCGCTCTACAGGATCCGCAAACCAGACCAAATCAAATTACGTCTTCCTATCTCAGAAACCCTTTTCCAGATGAATAGGGATCAGCTACAAAAGTTTATTCAATATTTAATTACGGCACACCACACTGAAGTTCTTCCTACTGCACAGAAACTTGCAGATGAGATTCTATCTTCCAACTCAGAAATCAACCAAGTACATGGTAATTGTTCAACATTTTAGTTGTGAAAAGTCTCCTTTTTGCTATATTTATATTATATGCTTAGTAATGGGGTGATTTTGTAATTACAATAATTTAATCAATTCATTCTATCTATACAAGTATGTATTTAAGTCTTGCTTTCTTGAAGCAGTCTAATTATTTGCTTCATGAAAGTTATATATTGTTAGTTTATGAACTTTTGTTATCCACACAATTTCTGTCCCCAGAGCCCAAAATGTTCAAGAGTAAAAGAAATCACAAAATAATTTGTGCCATTTAGTAATATAAAATAGCTATGAGAATTTTTCTGGCATTTCAGAATCCTACATGGCTTCAGTGTTATTCTGAGGAACATCTGTTAGTGTTGTGCTTATTATGAGCTATACAACGTGGGTACATGAATAGACAGAGAGCTTATATTCACTTATTCATTCAACAAATATTTTTGAGAACCTACTATGGGCCAGGAACCATGCTGGTTGTTGAGGAAATAAAAATAGACGTGGCTCCTGCCTTCAAGTAGCATATAATCTTGTAGAAAAGTCAGACAAGTCTGATACAAATGCTTGCTTTTGTAATGAAGCCAGATTATAGGAATTTAATCATAGAAAGCCATTGAAAGATTTCTAGAAAGAGGTATTAAACAAGCCAATTATTTCACTTTTTTTTATTAGAGCCTACTGTGTACCAGGAATCATGCAAAGGACTTTATATATGTTAATTTAGCCTTCAAAACTACCCTATGAGATAGTGTTACTATCATTTATAATTTATAAATAAGAAAATTATTTATTACCTAGACTTATCTGACATCAGAACTCATGCTTTTTAATGTTTCTCTATATTACATTTTTATTAAGAAGATAACTTTTAGAAGAATAACTTTTATTACATCTGTATTTTAGGAAGACCTTTGTAAAAGATGCAATGAGACCACTTGGGTGGCCTATATGATACACCAGTTTATGTGCCATAGGACTTGCTTTTTCTAATAGTCCAACAAATCCAGCAAGTCCTACAGACAACCTCATCAATTCTCAGAAACAGGAATATTCAGATATACAGACGTCCAAGAGCTCTTGGTAACCAGCATAATCTTCTGTTGCATTATATTCAAAGTTGTAGCGTTTGCATGGTAACTGGGTTCTCACTAGTTGAGTAGTATGGTCAAAGAATAGTTCTAATTATCTCTTCTTACCCCAAAATGGGCAGACTGTTCTACTTCTCTGGTCTCCTTAAATGAGAGATTAAGGACCTGTTATGCCCAATCACCCACTCTGGTCTATAGCACCAGAGAGAAGTATAGCATTAAACCCTAACAACTGGATTTCTTGTCTTATTCCCTTTCAGAGAATTTAATAGCACTTGTTGCCTATTTCAGTGACCCATGGTAGTTCAGTGGCTAAAGCACTTGGCTCTGACCAAAAGATTGGTGGTTCAAACTCACTAGTTACTTTGTGGCAGTCTGCTTCCATAAAAATAGGGTCGCTATGAGTCAGAATTGACTCTACAGCATTGGATTTGGTTACATATTTACAAGCTCTCTTGCCTTTTCTTGAACTGTCCACCTTGATTCAGGACCTATATTGACTTATCCTTTTTTCATCATTACTGTCACTGAAACAACCTATTCCCTGTTTACACCATCTCTGTGCTGAAGCAGCCTTCATCCCAGTATCTTACTGGTCTAAAATTAGGTTGAAATTGCCACATTGAACTTGAGATGAGACCTTCAACCTTCTCCAGAAACTGTTGCTTCTGTGACTATATTTATCTTATATGTATATTAGCTTTTTACCCCAGCTTCCATACAGACCTCTGGTAGTGTAGTGAGTTATGAGTTGGGCTGCTAACCACAAGGTCAACTATTCAAATCTACCAGCCACTCTGCAGGAGAAAGATGAGGCTTTCTGCTCCCCTAAAGATTTACAGCCTTGGAAACCCTATACAGGGTCGCTATGAGTCAGAAGTAACTCAACAGCACACAACCACCACCACCACCACCACCACCACAGGCTCCATAGCATTGCACTGCCCTTTTCTAATCTATGCCTGATAACCAGTGCTAATATAGGCAGTGGTACTAAAAATATGTACAAAAAGAAAGACATAGGCATGCCTCATTTTATTGCACCTCACTTTTTTGTGCTTAGAAGCTACTGTGTTTTTTACAGATTTAAAGTTTGTGGCAACCCTGCAACAAGCAAGTCTATTGACACCATTTTTCCTTTATGTCTCTGTATCACATTTTGGTTATTCTCATAATATTTCAGACTTTTTCATGATACTATTGCACACTTAATAGACTATAATATAGTGTAAATATAACTTGTATATGCACTGGGAAACTAATAAAAAATTTCATGTGACTCGCTCTATTGCGAATTTTGCTTTATTGTAGTGGTCTAGAATCAAACCCACAATACCCCCAAGGTATGCCTGTACTGTAGAGATAAAATGGACTGGGTGCAACATGCAGGTGTGTTGAATGAGTTGAGAGTAAAGAAGAGGAAAAGGAAGAAAATTGAATTCCAAATTTTATGTAACTCAGGTGGCATTGATGATTTGATGATGATGTGGTCATTCATTGAGGCAGCATAAGAAGATGAATGAATTTGAAAGGAAGATTAATATAAGTTTGAGGGGTTTAAAGAATATTTTGGTAAATATTTCTGATAGCAAGTTGACTATATGGTTCTGGAATTGATGAGGAAATTCAAAATATTGGCGTCTGTAGCACAGAGATGGAATCTGAAGTCATGTTTCTTTTCCTTCCAGAATATTTAAATACTTAAAACACCCTTCTTCTCTTTTTTCTGTAACCCTGCTCTTCACTGAAACAGACCTAAGATACCAGGAATAAGATTTCTAAAGCTGCCTGTTGACTGTTTTTCATCATAGGAATAGATCTAGACCTTACTCTGTTCCTCACTTCCCTGAAACCATTTTCTAATATTAATCATGGTTGTTCTTGTTCTTGTTAAGTGCCGTCAAATCAATTTTGACTCATAACAACCTTGTGTAGGGTTTCCAAGGAGTGGCTGGTAGGCTCCATGTCTTTTTTGTGATTTCTTCTGGTGGCACCACCTCTCAAAGTTCTCCGGGATACATCATCTTGGCCAAAATTTCACTTCCAGCTTATTCATAGAAAGTGAATACCAAGAGAAAAGTGGGGGAAAAAAACTTGAGGAATCAGGTCAGGAACCATGTCTTACTAATTTCTGCATCCATATCACTTACTATGGTACCTGGGAAAATTATAAATATTCTACAGATATTTGTTGAATGAATAAACAGGTAATAAAAAAATGTAGTCAGTGTAGGAAGTAGCAAAACAAACTGAGAAAAAGCTAGCAAGTTATTATTGAAGTAGTTGTAAGAAAGAATTTCAAGAAGTAAGTGATCAACAGTGTTGAATATTATGGAAGACCAGAACAACAAGCAGAAAAAGACAATTTGGGGGAAATAGAGACTATGTAGAGAGAAGAAAACTTTTAAAAAGCATTTGTAATTGCATTATAGAAATAAAAGAAGTTATTACAAAAAGAAGTTACTTACAAAAGAAGTAAGAAATAGATAGTATAAAAACATTTTTAGAGAACAAAAAGTGTTCATGGATATTACAAATATAATGCCAAAATGGAAACAAAACAAAAAACATCCTCAATTCAATAATAGTGTTAGAAAATAAAACTAAGGAAGCTTAGACAAAGAAGTGAAAAATACGGGGAAAAAAAAAAGAAAATTGAAGAGAACCAGCCCTGAAGTTCAACATTTAAATAATAGAGGTTCCAGAAATAGAAAACAGAGATTAAAGCATTCCTATATGAAATAATTGAAGAAAACTTTGTAGAACAAAAACATGAATTTCCAAACTGACAAAATCCCACTAAGTGCCCACCAATAGGAAAAGAAGAGTGCTAATTCTATTGAATATTTATGCAGAAAAAAAAAAAAATTCAAACTTGGTTTGTAGTTCATACCATATAGAAAAATCAATTCTAGATGGATTGTAGATATTTTTGAAAGTAAAACAATAAAACTTATGGGTGATACCATGAGAATATATCTTCATATCCTTTCATGAGGTAGGAAGAGTGGTTAATTGAACTACATTAAAAACTAAGAACATCTGTTTATCAAAAGTCACTTAAAAAACTGAAGAGGCAAGCAAGTAGTGGGAGAAAATACTTATAACACGTAACTGGAGAGAGGCTTGTATCTTAACTATGTAAAGAATTCCTACAAATAGTAAAATGAGCACAGCAAAAAAAGGGTATTCAGATGGTTAATAAACATATTGAAAGATCATTTAATTTATTACTAATCAGGGAGACTCAAAAGCATTATATGGATCTGGAATACATACCCACCAGAATGGCTAGAATTTTTAAAGCTATCCATATCAAGTATTGGTGAGAATATTGAACAGCTAAAAATCATATATTGCTGGTAGGAGTGTAAATATACTGCTGGTAGGAAACTGACATTATGTACCTGAAGTTGAACATATACATACCCTTCTACCCTAAAATTTTTATCTTTTATGCCTACCATAATTTACATTATTAGCATAATTTGTCATAGCTTAAAATGGAAGCTGTCCAATTGTTCATCAACAATAGAATGGCTAAATAAATTGTGATACATTCGTAATGGAATACTATACATTAACAAAAATAAATTAATATTGCTAAGGGTGAATTTTGCAAGTGAAAGAGGCCAGACACAGAAGAATACATATTGTATGACTCCATTTATATAAAGTTTTAAAACAATCATGGTGTTAGTAGTTAACCTCTGGAAAATAGGAAAGGAGACAGTGTTTGGAAGGGGACAAAAAGAAGGCTTCTCGGATTCTAGTAGTAATCTGTTTCTTGACTTCGGTGTTACACAGTTATAATCACTTTGTGTTAACTCATCAAGCTGTACATTTATGATTTATGTACTTTTCAGAATTTATTTTTTAATTTTTTAAATTAAATATCCCCCCAAATTAA